CCATGTGATCCCCCTAAAATCCCTCGATCTTCCCTCGGATTCCAACCCAGGACAAAAATAAAGACTCACAAAAAGAGCAGTTGAATGAGTAAAATAGTGTTGTTCATTATGGAGAGAACATTTGCGCCACATTTTTATAATTGGTAAATTTTGTGATATTACACTTTGTGTTTTAAGCTGCGGGTGCTTTTCAGCGCCCGCGATCCTGTTTCCGATGAAAGAAGTTGGCGCTGTGGGCCCCATACATGAAGGAGTAAGGCAGGCTGACAGTTTGTGTTAACCGCGAATCTAAAACCGTAGCTAGCGGTTTGAGGGTAGGAGTTAGAAGTTTCGAGATTTTTAGCGTTTTAGATCGACGTCGGATTTTCACGCAAGTCTTGTTCCACAAGTAGCCAACGAAATGGAGACATACATAAGAAAAACCGAGAAAAACAGCGATATGTTTTTCATGCTAAGGTTTCATCCGATTTCAAATAAACAAAACCTGAAAAAAAAAAGCTCACCGATCCCAAAATCGGAAGTACCATTTCAAACAAAAGTAAAATTAAACTGTTCGCCGTTGTCTTAAATTACAGACAGGATGGAAGTCCTTCATTTTGAACACAGAATGCGGCCTAAAGTTTGCTTTAGTCCCAAACAAATGGGCTAAAAATAAAATACCTCAAATCACATATATTTATAGGACATACGCGAGAACCTTGAACCGGAATAAGAAAAGCGCCAAGGGAGTTGGTCTACCTGAAACTGACTGGACCGCGAACGGCAAACGTGACGGCTACAGTCTGGTCACGTGACTTCTAGCGGTTTGCGGTTACACGCAATATGAAACAAACGTGGATCTTAAACTCTCTATTATGCCATAAACGTGCTCAACCTTTACGGGTGATTCACAGCGATGAGCGAAGAAAATTGCTAGGTCAGTCACATTACGTAAGCGCCGGCGAATTTAGCATCGATATCTGACGAGTCATACAATGAGAATTAAAACGCCGACCGCGGCGGGCGGAAGTGGCGAAAATCACTATCGCTGTTCTGATCATCGGTTGTTTAGAGGGTGGATAA